TAACGCCAGCGAAGTGTGAGCTCAAGTGGTGGCTTTGCCCTGCGGGTGCAGCGGCCCATGCCTCTTCGCTTAAGTAATTTCCTTTTTGGCCGCGCCGAACCGAGACTCGCCCCGCCATCCGGGCAGCCTAGGCCCTCGGCGGCTGGGACCCTCGGAGGTCACGTCGGCCTCCGGGGTGCTAGAACGCAGACCTACTTTCTCCACTCCCCGGGGCTTGGCCTGAGATGATGAACCTCACCTGGAACCCAGCTAAGGGCCCTTGAGATTCGCGTTGACTTATGAATGGGATACATATTAAAACCTCGTGCTAAATGGTTCAATAGGACTAATTTGATGGCTAGTATTTTCACGGTCTCGATTGAGAATATCAGGTCGCAGTTCAAATGCACACCACAATATATTCGATGAGCATATATTTAGTTCTTACTTCATGGTCTCAGCAAAGTAGACTGCTGAGTTCAGAGAATTCAGGCTGCGGAACTGGTGTTTCTACTCGGTCACTGTTTTCTGCTGTGAGGTTTCAGAATACGTGACTTAACATGCAGTGCCCTGGAGTGTGACTTCCAGCCCTGTTATAACGGAGTGGTGACTACTCTGCAGGGGGGCGTGGAAGTCGCCAGAACTTCCAGTTTCTGTTCTGTGTGCACCCACCTCTCCCCATGGGTGAAAGAGGGAAGGTAGATTTAATTTAATCCCTTTAAGACCAGTGTTATTTACTTGTGAAACTGAAGCGTGGGGGTAAAAAAGCCCGGCCAGTGCTTAATGCTGGGTTTGTCAGTCTTGAGCTACCATTTGTTTCTGGGAGAGTTCATAGTGTTAGTTCAGTTATTTTGGGCCCCCAACAACGTTTTGCCAATGAACTTTGCTGCATTTCTCACTTAGCCTCCACAGACTCCATACCTGTGGCAGTGAAGCAGGGAGTGCTCCAGGGCTGGGATGCTTGGGGTCCAATCCTGGCTTTCTACTTGTGACCCTTTTCACCCCAAGGAAGTTACATAATTGCTGTTTCTCAGTTTCCTCACGTTTGAAAAAACCCACGGAGAATAATGGTTTCTGTCTCAGAGGGTTGTGGTGAGGAAGAAGTTAACTAATATATGTAAAGTGCTTGGCATGGTATCTGTCAACGAATAAGCACTTACATAAAGTGTTAACTGTTGTAACCATGAGCAATGGTTACAGGTGTGGACAAAATAATAAAAAGGGTTAGGAATAAAGTGTACAATCTGGACAAACAAAAAGTCATGTTTTATAGTATATGGGTAGCTATTTGCACGGAGGGCTTTCGATGGGAAATCAGGAAGCTACAACTTTAGCAGTTGTGGAGTCTGCCCTTCTCATTTTAGAGATATAGGAACCGAGGGCAAGAGAAATGATGAGACCTAGCCAATAGACAGAATGCATTAATGCCACAGCTGGAACTGCAGCCCTGTCTCCAGATTTCCACTCAAGAGCTAGTTTCTTTGGTTGCACATCATAATCTTTAAGCCTTGAGTAAAATATTAACTTGACCTTTCGTGTAGTATATACGTTTGTATAAATATTGCTTATTTGTATCCAGTAGTTCTTGCTGGCGTTTTGGAAACTTAAGTTTCCTTACAATGTGTTTGTGCAGTATTGTTTTCTGTTAACAAACCGAGTCTTGAGGTTGCTATCACAAGACCTTTGTGCAGCTGATTCTAAGTTGAGGATCTTTAGAAATGCTGCTATTGGTGAAGCCTGGTGTTTTGATTGGGTATTCTTTTTTTTTTTTAATTTTTAACCTGTGGAACCTCATTGTCCTTTTAGGAGTTATATTCTTTTAGGGGTGATAAAGCCCCAGGAGCTTGTCTGTATGCCACATGAAATGTTTTCTAGGCAGAGTAACACCATCTATTTTGTTCGCTTAGAATACAATTGGTAGAGATGTATTTTTGCAAGTTGATTTTGGGGCTATGAAATCAAAGCGGTGTGGTAGTTATGGTTTTTCATTATATCGTTGTAGAGTCATTATTTATACACTTTCTGTGTCAAAGACAGAGTTCATGCCTCTAGTTGAATTTTCTTGCTCTTCTATTAGGTGAAGAGCTTGTTCTAGGCCTGCTGCTAATTAGCCACGTGACCTTGTTCATGTCATATTCTCTTTTTGTGTCAGCTGTGCCCATCCCCCTGGGGTATTATAAAATTGAATGAAAGAGACAGAAATGAGAGTCCATTTTTTGGAAAGTGCTAGGAAAATCCACATTATGCTTATATATTTGTGGCCCTTAAATTTATTCAAAAGATGTGTGGATCATTAAAGTGAATCAGGACCTGGATTGGGGACATTGGCATTGTATTTAGTCAAAACAGTTTGTTCCCCTTAATATTAAAAACTCAATGGAAGAGTTAAAAATCAGGCTTAAAGTTTCTGATTCTATTTTAGCTCTTTAGCTATTTGACACTTTTAACAGCAGCAGGATGGTTTTTTTGTTTTTTGTTTTTTTTAAAATTCAACTTAGGAGGGTGGTTAATGAGAACTGAGTTTACACAGCATTTTGAGGTAATTAGTAATACTTGTCTGCAGATAAAATTTGCCTGATTTTCAACATTTAAAGATGTAAATAAATTTGGGAGGATATACATTATTATTTAGCTTTGGGAATTTTTGCAATTAGGTAACACATTTTTCAGTTGGAAAAAATCACCGAGTTTCAGTGTATTAGAGTTTATCAGGCCCTTCTTTAAAGGCCCCTCCAACTGGACATGTGGGAGGATTTTCTTAGGCTCTGTGACGCAGCTTGTAAGTTGGTTTCCCAGTCTGTGAGAAATTAGAATGTCTCAGTTGCAAAGATTTGCATTTTCCCTTTTTTCTCTAGTTATTCTTTAACCAGGGTTTACCTGATATTTCTGAATACTGAATTGTTCGTTGCAAACTGAAGTATTCTTTTCCCAGTTTGTGTAGGTGCAAAGGGGACCTGCTATGTATTTTCTAACTTAAATTTTCATCTAAACATCCATTTTGGAAACACTTACATTGACTTAAGGAAAACTGCTTTAAATCTTATTGAGTGAAGATGGTAAATATTTTAAATAAATGAATTTTTGCTACTGGTGTAATTTAGGGCTATAGTTTTTATTTTAAAAATGAAGAAGGGAATTTCGGAATGTGCTGTACCATTTTGAATACAGTATTAAATTGTCCCTTTCCTCTTCCTCCCTTTTCTTTACACTGAGATTTTCTTCTTTGGATGTTGCCACATCAGATACTTCATATTTCTGGGTACCTCAAGTTGGTCAATGATCAGGTACCATATAGTGGGAATGAGTGTAGCAGAATTCCAAGAATGGATGGGATAGTAAAAGCAGTGAAAGGTATAGAATTCCTTCATTGTCTATTCTCTGCATGGTTGACAGATTGGTAAATGACAAGTGTGCATATATGTATTGGTGTGTGTGTGTGCACATGTAGATCTCAGGATCTATCAAGAATCAACACCTACTAGTTAAGGTCTCAGAAAATTGTCAGGTGACCACACTTTGAGGCAGTGACTGCAGTAGCCCCCCAAGGCATAAGAAGGCTTTGGTCAACTGCATATTATAACAGTGGCCCTATAAAGATTATAATGGAGCTGAAAATTTTCTATCACCTAGTGACTCCTTAACCATGGTAACATCTATATATATAAAAGTCTAAGCGACTATTACAACCAGTCAACTGAACGACCGGTCACTATGACATGCACTGACCACCAGGGGGCAGACATTCAATGCAGCCAACCTCCTGCGGCTGGCCTACCTCTCACGGTCCCTCCCCACAGCCCGCCAACCTCCCATTGTCCCTCCCTCTCGCCGGCAGGCCCTGATCGGCCCCGATTGCCAGCCAGGTGGAGGGACCCCACCCGTGCATTAATTTGTGTACCAGGCCTCTAGTCTGTCCTATATAATAAAAGGCTAATATGCAAATTGGCCAAACGGTGGAACGACTGGTTGCTATGACACGCAATGACCACAAGGGGGCAAATGCTCAATGCATGAGCTGCCCCTGGTGGTCAGTGCACTCCCACAGGGGGAGCGCCGCTTAGCCAGAAGCCGGGCTCACGGCTGGCGAGTGCAGTGGTGGTGGCGGGAGCCTCTTGGACATCCCCCGAGGGGTCCTGGACTGTGAGAGGGCACAGGCCGGGCTGAGGGTCCCCCACTGCCCTGAGTGCATGAATTTCATGCACTGGGCCTTTAGTATATGTATAAAAGCCTAAGCGACCGAATG